TGTCGCAAGTCTTTTGTTTTTGCTTCTCCAAATTGTTGCCGACAGAGTTTTTCTTGAACATTCAAGCTAGTTGGCAGCGGCTGCATTGCTTTGACCTTGCCGCTGACCCAACGCATTGCCACCTGTTGGGGTTAAGCTGTTGCTGTTGTTGTTGTTGTTGTTGTTGCTGTGGCTTATGTTGTCTGGGGTCAGTTTTGCGCAATCAATTGGTATTCGCGCCGGTTTGTCTCATGTTGTGCAAATACAAATGAATCTACCTATATACACACACACACACACAACCGGCTGTGTGTGTGTAGTTCGTATGTGTACGTGTGTTAGGCTGAAAATCTGGTTATCAATTTCTTTGGCAACGTAACATGCGAGTCACTTGGCTTTGCTTACAACACTTGCAACAGCGGCAACAACAACAAACACAACATGAAATGCTCATAATACACTTAATACATTTCCATTCAACACAAGTCCTATACCTAAAATGTGCGGTGAAAATGTGTGTGTATATTCCAAAAATCGGGGTCGTAGTTTGAGTTTCTTTTGATTTCTTATTATTTGTTGCACTGTCAACCTTCAGCCTTCGTCTTGTTTGTGTTGCACGTTTCATTGGCCGCCGTTCGATTCAGAAGCAGTTAACATACTTTCACCAATGCAAATGTATTATTTAATACAGGTACAATAAAAACGCAGCATTTTTGCACAGTCCACTTTCACGTAACCGTTACCGTTACCGTTACCGTTAACTGCACTCAGCACACAGAAATTCAATAACCGCCAGAATTATAAAACTTCACTTTTACTGACTCCGAACATCATTGCCAAGATGCGAAGAGCAATTAAACAACAACCAATAATTGTATATGTGTATGTGTATGTGTATGTACTTTAGCTATCAAGGCGATGTTTCTTTGGGGCCGTCCGCTCGGGCAAGTGTGTGTGCAGCATGTAAGTAGTTTCACCGCGCGATACCATTGACTAACTGAAGCGACTTGTTGATAAAAACGCCGTTATTGCTTTTTCGGAGTCACACTGTTGAATGTAACGACACAACGTAACGTTCGGATGGCGCTAAGCGAAAGTGTATTTTTTGTTGGTATTATTTAGCGCATTTTAAACATGCGCTGCAACCAGATACACTTTTATTCGCGAGTTATTCACGCTAGACAGACTATTTGGGATTGGGTTAACATTTAAATATATAACATAAACATTTAAATATATAAAAAGGCTTTTAGCATATAATTCTATTATCTATTGTATAACCTATTGAATAATGAGGAAGGCCATTAATAAATAAATAAATATTGATATATCTTATGTATTCAGTCTGGACCATTGAAATATTAATGGAAAATATATGGAATCATACTGCTACGTTGTAAGTATATCAAAATTAAAATACTATTAAATTAAAAAAAGTTTGAATACTTTCATCAAATTAGCACAACAAAAGGCGGTTCGCAAAGTTAGTTAATTGGGTGCATTTAACAATACAAATAGAACTAGGTCCACAACTTTTTGCTTAGCTATGTTTTGGTATTATATTTCACCTACTCTTAAGTTTTTAAATTCATATTGCCATCTACAAATTTACCTTCAAAACTGCGTATGTTTTCTGATATCTGCTGTGTCTTTTATCCGAGTTTTTATCCGAGTCAATCATATTACTCTTACCCAATGAAAAATGTCAGTAGAGACACGAACCTTTGGCCAATTTTGGCTCGAAAATGAACTGCTGTCAGGGTGTTAGGAAAAATGTTGCATACTTTGCTAAGCAAAATAAATATTATGTAATTTTCAAAATTTGTAAATAAAAGTATTCTGTGCTTGAACAGTATGTTTGCCCATATGCTATTGTTTTTACTAGTAGTACTTAAATTATTATTAAAATTAAAATTAGTTTTAAAATTGGACTCTGATATCATTTTTGTAAGCGAAAAGCGAAAATGCAGCTAAGTTGTTGTTCACATTTTCTGTAAGTTCTTTTAACATGCAAATAATTTAGTTATATTGAAAAGCATGAATGAATCAAATTGACTTTTAGTTGCGATGAGAAATATAAGAATTCCACAAATGTTTCAAGCTCGGATATTTATATCTCTATCCGATTGACTAAGAGTTAAGGATGCGTAATCATTTTCAAAGCCGCCGTTGTCGCCAAACGGGTTTTCCCATTCATGTCGCGAATCGAGAGCAGAGACGTTACAACTCTAATCGATTAAATAATTAATTGTAATCTAAGTTCACATTTTAATTGGCATGGTCGTGCATACTCTCTCTCTCTCTCTCTCTCTTTTTTCGCCTTCTCTTTCTCTATCTTTAGCAAGATCTCTCTCTCTCTCTCACACGGATGAGACATTCGTATATATGTGTATGCGCCTGTGTGTGTGTTTATTTATCAGCATGTGTTTGTTTGGCTGGTCTAAGGCCAATGCCAGTTGCTCTGTCGATCTCCGTGAGTTAAGTACGGCTCTGGGACTGTGAGGCGGGAGTGAGCTTTTGTTCGAGTAAAACAAAGATAATTCGCATGAATTAAATGCGACAAATATTATATAAACGGGAGCAAAGACACAGGGAAATAGCTTTATATATGCGCTAAAATATATATAAATATAAATATATCAATCTCGACTTATATAAGTATTATGTGCTTACTTATACTCTGTGAGCTTCAGTGCATTCCGGTTTTGGATTAATCAACAAATCAACGACGACGTCGTCTACTGAAATACAAAAATAAAAAAAATTGTTGCGACGTCAGTGGCTACTTTAAATTCAAAACAACTCAAAATTCCCCATCGAAGGAAAAATCCACATAAATTAAACTGTTCTCTTTTATATTTGCGAATCGACCTATTGTAAATAAAATTTTTTATCAACTTCAATACTCAAAGAATCTTTGAGGAATCTTAGTCAGCAAAAAGAAAAAAACACGAAATGATTATAACAGGTAAAACCCAATGCATTTTACATCTTTATGTTCTTAGTTTCGTAAACCGTTGAGTGTAATCGTAAAAAGCAATTTCGAGCTTTCAATTTGAAATTTGTTGTCCAATTTGTTCAAGTGATAAGCACATTTAAAAACAATATTCGACGGAAAAAGGTTCTAAGCATATGAAATGTACCCCGACATATTATGCCAAATCACGATAGATTAAATCAGATTTACCTTCAACTATTCCTTCGATCAACATTTCCAATTCCAGATAGTGTGGCACGAGTTCTTGGTGGAAGCTTATTGCTGTGCGCCGTTTGCTTGGCCCAGCAGCGCATCCCGACGCTATCCCTGGGCAATGCGCTGGAGGCGCTGACTCCGGCGGCCGCTTTTCAAGTTCAGAGCAGTCCCGACTATTCATTGCGTTCCAATTTTGATGATGAGACGTTGCGTAGAGTCGCACAGGGTGCCCAGGAATTCGCACTCGATTTCCTACTGCGCGTCTCCGTCGAGGTGGAGAAGCATAACGCTGACTTTATGATATCGCCATTCTCGGTCTGGTCCCTGCTGGTACTGATGTACGAGGGCGCCGGCGGCCAAACCTATGAGCAACTGCGTCAGGCGCTGCGCATCAACGTAGAGGATGAGAAGCTGCGCTCGATTTATAATGTGTGGAGCAAATATCTGAAGTAAGAGCAAGATGCAATTGCAATACCCTTTTACACACATCCTTGTTGAGGGTATCTTACTTTTGTCATGAATTGTGTAACGCATACAAAGAAACATCTCCGACCCTGTAAGGCATAAATATATCTGATCAGTATTCAAAGTAAACTAGTCTCTTAGTTTTAAAGCTGTTACTGGAATCGGTCAGATCGGAATACTATATCATATAGCTCTCACGGAATAATTAGGCGAAAAATTCGCCATTACATTTATTTTTATGGTTATCTTGATTTACTACTTTTAATATAATGAATCTACGTCTTTACTCAATATAGCACAAAAACTTCGACAATTGAAGTGGCCTCTCTGCAGGCGCTGTATACGGACAAGAATTCGCCGATTAAGAGCAGTTATCGGGTTGCGGTGCAGTCTTATGGAGTGGACCCCGTGGAGGTGGACTTCTTTAATCGTGAGACAATATTTCAGATCAATGAGGCCACCAACCGCTCAACCCGTGGACTCATACCCTATGCGGTGTTGCCACAGGAAATATATGGTGCCAAGATTTTTATGCTGTCGTCGCTGTTCTTTAAAGGCCAATGGAAGGTTAATTATTGGTATTATAATATCTGGTATATACATATTAAATGCAATAATTATTTGCAGTTTCCATTCAACACATCCTCTACTCGAACGGAGCCCTTCTATGATGAGAAGGGCGCCGTTATCACCCAGGTCTCAATGATGGTGCAGGAGGGTAACTTTGCCTATGTGACCAACATTGAGGGCTTGGATGGTTACGTACTCGAGCTGCCGTATGGTGAACAGAATCGACTTTCTATGATTGTTGTGCTTCCGAAGCGGGGCTTCAATCTCAATGATGTGGCCAGAAATCTAAAGGATTTGACTCTGTCGCCGCTTTTGCAGCGTCTTGCCAAGTTTTCTCGGGATGCGCCGGAAGACAGTGTGGTCGAAGTTCTAATGCCCAAGTTCACAACGTCGACGGACTTTAGCTTAAAGAAATTACTCCAAGAGGTGGGCGAATTTATGGACATGTCCGAGTACAATATATAAACATGTCATATTACAGATGGGCATTCGCGATCTATTTGATAAAAGCTACTCAAATCTAAGCCGCATGGCAGATGGTTTATTCGCCAATCTCTGTGTTCATGCTACGAAAATCATTGTGGATGAAAAGGGCACCACCGCAGCAGCTGTTACAGCGTCCGTGCTGAGCAACAAGTCGACGCCGCCGAAATTTCAGCTAAACAGACCCTTTCTGTACATGATTGTGGAGAAGTCAACCAATCTGTTGCTGTTCGCGGGTCAAGTGAGAAATCCAAAGGCGACATAATCCGAGTTTTTGTGTTTTTTAATGTCATAACTTAAATAAACTATAAATGCTGCGGCCGGTTATTTTTTCGCGCGGCCTGCAGCTTTTTTGCCACCAATCGGTTGCTGTTTATCCTTGCTGGCTTTGCTCGATATAAGCGGGTGAGTTTCTGTAAGCAAAACAGATGCGGCTGGTGAATGTTTTCTGGGCGAGACTGAAGTTTATTTCGCTTACCGTCGGTGGGCGCATCGGGCAGGCTGACGTCATAGTGCTGCATTCGTCTGCGCTTGGTAGCCATGATGTCCTCTTCGTAGTCGCGCGAATCGTTGCCAACTAGCGCTGAGCTTGGCTCCAGGTTGTCTTGCGATGTCCAGCCATCCTCTGGGTCTTCTACCTCGGGAGCCATGGGAAGGAACTGTAAAGCATTCTCGTCTTCGCCCTCCTCGTCAGAGGAGCAAAACGCCGCAACTGGTTCCACTTTTTGTACATCAACTTCGATCTCCTCATCCTGTTGAGCATCGGCATTCAAGTCCACCGACTTATCCTCATCAGCAATATCGAACTCCGATTCTCTTTCCTCGTACTCAACGTTTTCGTCAAGTTCCTTAAAATCGGGCGCAAATGCAGACCAGTTCTCTACCTGATTCTGTGCCCAAATCGAAACTAAGCCTGAACTAATACTAGCTATAATTGGACGAACCGGATGCCATACAACGTCCAGCAGCAGTTCACCTTTTGTACCATGCAGAATCTTGACGAGATTGCCAATTGATTTCTCCCAAATATACAGAGCATGTTGTCGAGCGCTGCCCGCACAAATGTATTCGCCGTCGCCAGAGAAACAACATTTTTTCCAAGTGGTTCTGAGAGTGCAAAAAGAATTATTAGTCGAACGGCACTGAGCACAAGCATAGAGCTTACTTGTTGACCAGATCCTGTAGTTTTTGTATGGGCTCCGGTTCGCCATCCTTGCCCAGTGCAATAATCTCCTTTGAATCGTAAACCCGTATAACCCGATCGGAAGTATTTATGAGGAAGGCGCTGCAAAAGAATTTCAAGTTAAGTTAGCCACTAAATAGTCGTATAACATTTCATGTTGCACATACTCGCCTCGACGCGCGAATTCAATGCTCTTGACTGCCGTCGCACTTGATGTTCCAACAATAATCCGAAAGCTGGCAACGACCTCAAATGTTTCCACGTCCAGCACAAGGATTTTTCCTTTGGCGTTGCCCGTGTATATGTGCTTACCACGTCGATCAAACGAGGCAACTATATTCAAATCGCCCTGCCAAATGAAATACATTTTAAAAATAGACATCAATCTATGTTGTTCCAAATCGATAGCTCTTTAAAGAGATAACTCCCACTCCTGCTGTAGTTTAAGGAAACCTACATCTGAATCCAGTGGAAGACAGCGATGCGAACCGGCAATTTTAACTAATACAGCAGCATATCGCATGGGGCAAACCAGCAGCCGGCTGTCGTTTCGTGGATCGAACTGCACCTTCAGCACCGGCGAGGGAAAACGATACTTGTGCTCCAATTCCCCGGTAAGAACGTCCCAGATGCATACATTGTTATCGGTTGAAGCCGACAGCAACTAGAATGGAAAGTATATGACAGGTTGATAGGCGATGGCACGATTAAGTTAAGGGCACATTTATGTCACCTTGTGGCCATTTCGAGTCCAGCTCAGACTGCAAACAGGATGCACATGTGCGGAAATTATTTTAGCGATGCCGCGCGTCAAAAAATCCCAAATAACAATGCGTCCATCATTACATCCCACGGCCAGTAAAGTGCCGTATTTGTTAAAGGCGCATGTAACAGCTAGTGATATGCAATCCAGGGAGCCATCAAACTCCTCGGGATAATTTTGACCAAAGGATTCTATTTATGAGAAATAAACAAATGGTACAATTGAGTTTCTACTAAAATAGCGCAAAACCTACCGAGCAGTTCCAAATTCATGTTTGGGTTTCTTCTTCATTAATATATCCATTCACCCTAAAATGTCGCATATCGCCAATCGGTTTTGGGAATCGTCGATTGCTTATATATCGTAATATAAAAAGGATATACGTCATGAATGTCAAATGATTTCAGATTGTCAATGGAGATCACAAATTTGTATAAGCAATTAAAGTAGCTTTAATTTGTATTTATAGCTTTTAACTAAATTTGTCTTTATTAATTTATAAAAAATGGAACTAGAACCAGTCACATATGAACTGAATCGTTAGCTTTCAGTGTAAAACTCTTTTCAACATTCGGTCACACTAGATCCGAGTGGGTTTTGTGCGCACGTTGTACGTAAAACTTTTATAAATCAATTATAATTGCTTAAAACTTATTTAAAGTTATCAAAAAAGTGTAGCAACATCTACTAAAACATGCAGTTTATCAAATCACATACCATTTTGGTTACATTCTCAATTTTTTAAGTGCTTGCGAAATGATTTTTGTGTCGACGTCACCTTTGGAGCCCCGCTCCCGCTCTCTTACTCGCGTTCATTCTTCTGCTCACATTCTCTCCTTAGTGCAGTGAAATAATAAGTTTGATTTTCAACTCAAGTTGATTTTCTTATTTCGATTTCGTTTGAAAACAACAGATTTGAAATAGTTGTGTTCGAATTCAAACCAAATTTTGTAATTGCCCACCACTTTGACTTTCTTTTAGTTGCCTTCTTTTTTTGCCACAGCTTTCTTTATTTTACTTACATATGCATGTACGCAACATCCACATACATATACATATTCATGTATGTAATTATTTTTTAGTGTATTCATCGCCAACCACGTTAAAAGGAAGAACGTGAATGTGAATACAAAAAGGCAACACAATCACAAAACTTAAACAATAATTGAAAACAACAAATCGTCGTTACATTTCCATTTCCTGGCAGTGCAAGTGAAAAGTCATATAAAGAAGCCGAGGCCCCAGTCCCGTTCTTGTTTTCCTAATTCGCACAAAGGGCCGTAAATAATTAGCAATAAATAAGCAAAATGTCTGGCGAAGAAACGTCCGCTGATCGCAATGTCGAAATATGGAAAATAAAGAAGCTCATCAAAAGCCTGGAAATGGCACGAGGGTAAGTTATTTCATACATATTCTAATATTTTGCCCACCTAAAATTATTGTTTTTTGTTCTGATGGGATTTTTCGTTTATGGTGGTACACACGAAATATATTGGGTTATGGGGGCAGGAGGCAGCCTTTCAGCGCGCCGTCGCCGTACAACAAATGACAGTGGAGTGAGTTGAATATCCGATTGTTGAGTATTTTGCACTCACCCCTTGTTGGCTATCAATTGGCAATGCAAAAATAAAACAAGGGTATAAAAAAGCTTAGCGAGCCATCCCAGGGTCAGAATTGTCACATATGTAGATGCTTAACTTTAGCTGTGGCAACTGCTTAAATGCTAATGCTAAACCTGCAATTTCTTGTACGAATCAGTTAAAAATAACAACGGTTTGGTTTGAACCAATTCAATTCATATGCGTGGCTGGTGTTGGTAACAAACAAAAAGGCCCATTTATATCTGTGTGGCGTTGCCCCACACTCGCTCACACACACAAACACACCAAGCGACAAGCGACTCTCAGCCATGGGAGTGTGTGTGTGTGTTTTGGCGCTCTTGCGCGCTCTTTGCGAAAATAATTTGAGAGCAACACGTTTTTTTTGTCAGGTTTTTATCAGTTCAAACTAGACACAACGCAATCGAACAGTGAGTAATGCGTGGAGCTAATGCTAATGTTAATGCTGTGTTGGCAACGAACCAATCATTGCTTGCAATTGATTACAAATGAACTCCTACGCAACGTTAACGGCAGCTGCATTATCTATTTACGTAAATACACATTAGGGTAAATGTCTCTGACAATTTCTCGCTCTCCTGCCACATTATCTATGATTTTGCTAAATGTAAAAAGGTCAAATTTATATGTGGAAACCATAACAAATCACATGAAATGCAGCAATTTCAAATTCAAAATGGTTGTGAGACGTCTGAGGTAGAGATGTTATTTAAAAAAATATCGTATGCGCTCGATTTGCATACGTAAATATTTAGCTACCTCAACAAAATATCGATATATTAGTTGATTTAAATAAAATAATAAGGCTCGACAACTTTATGAAGGTAGAACTCGACGATAATATGAATTATATATTTTTTGTTAGCGTCCGTTTGTCTGCATGGTCGTCTCGATCTGGAGAACTCAAATTCAGTATGTTGCTTTTCACAAGATGTTGAGCGCAACCTTTTTCAATATCTGACTCACAAGCTAGCACTTGCTATATGCGCTTTCTCTAAAAATGTTCATTAAGTTCTATTGAATTCTATGTGTTATCTCTCCGTGTCTGTCTGTTACTTGATCTGTCTTTTTTTTCATGCAACTCGTCTCCTACACTTATATTATAACGGCACATTTTGATCTGGGCGGGTATTTTGACCAAATCTCCCGCATATTAACATCCTGTTTTTCTTTTCGTTTTAGAAATGGCACCAGCATGATTTCATTGATTATTCCGCCTAAAGATCAAATCTCTCGCGTCAGCAAAATGTTGGCCGATGAATTTGGTACGGCCTCCAACATCAAGTCGCGTGTCAATCGCCTCTCCGTCCTGGGCGCAATCACGTCGGTGCAGCACAGACTTAAGTTATACACCAAAGGTGGGTTCTTCATTAAAAACCAATGAAACAGCTAATTGACGATTATTCCATTATTTTACAGTGCCTCCCAATGGATTGGTCATATATTGCGGCACCATTGTCACAGAGGAGGGCAAGGAGAAGAAAGTGAACATTGATTTTGAGCCATTCAAGCCCATTAATACCTCACTCTATCTGTGCGACAACAAGTTCCATACGGAGGCTCTCACTGCCCTGCTCGCCGACGACAACAAGTTCGGCTTCATTGTGATGGATGGTAATGGCGCTCTCTTTGGCACCCTGCAGGGTAACACGCGCGAGGTGCTCCACAAATTCACCGTCGATCTGCCGAAGAAGCACGGACGTGGTGGTCAGTCTGCCCTTCGTTTCGCCCGTCTGCGCATGGAGAAGCGTCACAATTACGTACGCAAGGTGGCCGAGGTGGCCACACAGCTGTTCATTACGAATGACAAGCCAAACATTGCCGGCCTCATATTGGCCGGTAGTGCGGACTTTAAAACTGAGCTCAGCCAGTCGGACATGTTTGATCCTGTAAGTAATCTAACACTGGTCAAGAATAGCCTGGGTACCAAGGGCTAGTTCCACTGGCTTCAGCGACGAATGACGATCCAAACAACCTGTATAAATATGTCTAGAGAGGTTTTGGTATAAAGGGTCGGATTTCTAGTGATTTCGTGAAATTGATCAAGACTACCAATACTATATAAATCGTCAGTCACGCAGCCAGTGGAGCCAATTGTCATCCAGAATGATCATGAAATGTATGCAACACATTGTAGGTCAAGTCTCTAGTAAAATAATAACACATTGTTTTTCCTTTGCAGCGTCTACAAACGAAAGTTATTAAACTGGTGGACGTGTCCTATGGCGGCGAGAACGGTTTCAATCAGGCCATCGAATTAGCCGCTGAATCGTTGCAGAATGTCAAATTTATACAGGAGAAGAAACTCATTGGCCGCTACTTTGATGAAATTTCTCAGGTGAGTTAGTTGCTAGCACATTTAAGCAGGATGAAATAATTATATATATTATCTATATTCAAGGATACTGGCAAATACTGTTTTGGTGTAGAAGATACTCTACGAGCATTGGAACTGGGCTCTGTGGAAACATTGATTTGCTGGGAAAATCTAGATATTCAACGCTATGTACTGAAGAACCATGCGAACTCGACGTCAACGACAGTATTACATTTGACGCCCGAGCAGGAAAAAGATAAGTCTCACTTCACGGACAAGGAGGTACGTGCCGAAATTTGCTCTCGTTGATCAATAACACATTCTTATTAATCCAAAACATTGCAGAGCGGCGTAGAAATGGAGTTAATCGAGTCTCAACCGCTTTTGGAATGGCTGGCGAACAACTACAAAATGTTTGGCGCCACCCTTGAGATAATTACGGACAAATCTCAGGAGGGCAGTCAGTTTGTGCGAGGTTTCGGTGGCATTGGCGGTAAGTGGTTGGCAAAAAGCATCTCTATATTATTATATATACACATATTTATATACAGTACGAGTGTAAGCTAAAAATTAATTACGTATCTACTGTTTCGATTCCTATTTCCTTCATGCTGCTTTTAAACATAACTCTAAATGTAACTTGGTCAACTTGACGTCGCTCCTTGTCCATAACTATCAACTATACTTGTTTTAATATATATACATATATATTATTTATTTATAATTATATATATGTGTAGGCATTTTGCGCTATAAAGTAGATTTTCAATCGCTACAAGCCGATGAACCGCTGGAGGACGTTGATCTAGATGATTACTAAGCAAAAACAGAAACAAAAGAAAACAAAACATAAAAGAAAGCATTCGCACTGCATAGATTTTCGGATCTCAATACACAAAATATTTTATTTTTTTGATTTCTTTTAAAACGCCATAAATTGTTCAAAACTTGATAGGAACCAATTTACTTGACGCATAGTTTTTAACAATATTTCAACAATATTATCTCAAAACAAATGCCCCCATTGCGATATAGATTTGTATGGTGGGCAATTATTTTAGATTTAGGCTTTATTTAATTGGAGTATTTCACTTAAACTCGTTTTTGGAAAGCACAAATAACGATGTGCTTTGGTTAAATTAAATGTATTATTTATTAATGAAAAGCGTTTGGGTACTTCAATATTCCTTATGCTTTCGATCTGTAATAGAAAAGTTAATATAAAACGAACCTTTGAATTACAAAACTTAAGAAATCCTGTACGAGACACATACATAGATAAGAAGTTAATATATGTATATACGAGGAAAGCCGAAATACTTTTGGATACATGTATTTTACTTGTATTCAGAAAGAAAATCTCGCGCAGCCGTTACAAAATTTCAAAAATCAATGTATTTACAACATCAGCATGAAACCTGAAATAAGTATTTGAATTGTCAAGTTTGTTGCTCTGGTTGCATTATTGATTCTCGTTTAAATAGATCAACTAACACTCCGTGACATTATGCATATATGTACTCGTATTTGACAAGCATTTAAAATATTTACATAGGCAATTTCTTTGTTTGCATTTGACACAAGTTAAAAGCGAAAAACTTCTAAGTACACAAACAAACCAAATACAACAATAAAGAACAAACAAAACCTGAATAAAGTAAATAAAAAATTGACACCTCCCGATATCGTACACAAAACCCAGCTTATAAATTATTTCAACTATTCATGTGATCTCCATTTTGTTATAACTATTCCCGAGCTCTCAGTAAGAATGAGGTTCATCCCAAGCACTGGAGCCTATATAAACGCTGTACGACGACGCTAATGCAGACACAAAACCAGTTGGAACTTCGATGTTATCAAATTTATATTAAGGCCATTTAACTTTTTATTCCCCAATTATCTGTAGTATAATAGCACAGGATTGCAGAACACTTTTGAGTTTGTTTAAAAATAACAAATTTTGTTCATTTTTAGTTTCTAATCATCGAGCAATATCCCCATTTGATTTTCAAAAGTAACAATTATCTAGAACAATTGTTGACGTGTTTCTTTTAAACTTTTAATATGCAGATCCATTTATTTATATAGTATTTATTACTCACAATGTGTTGTGCTATTAATTTAGTTGAAATAATTTTGTGCATTTTCGTTTTAATTATATTTATTTAGTTATCTTATTATCTAGCTTTGAATCTATTAAAAACGTTAATTTAATAACATTTAATGCTTTTCGCAGGTATCTTGCGTTACAAAGTGGATTTCCAAAGTATGCAGCTTGATGAGTTGGACAACGAAGGCTTCGATTTAGACGACTACTAGATAATTTTTACTTTTCTAATCAGTTAATCAGACCGAAAATTGAAAAATTGATTGATTCATAAAAGAAGCAAAATCGAAAAGAGCAAATAGAATATTTTAATAATACACAAACACACACGTGCACACACACAATCCTTCTTCCATTTTAACGTTGTTGGCGAATAAAAGTAAAATTGCAAAAATACATATATACCGTAAATAAAAAAAAAATCAGAAAGATATAATGTTAAATCAAGAGAAAAACAAAAATATAAAAAAGGAAACCGTTTTACTTGAAACAAATTATTATTGCTATTTTATATTCAAATTTCTAGTTAGAGCTCGTCGCCCAGACGTTCGATTTCGTCTAAAATGACATCCAATTCGTCAGTCTTGAGCACGGGAAAGCAGGTGAATACCATGCGAAAGAAGTTGCCCAACTGGCGACTGCTGAGCGGCGTATATCCAATCATCAGGGTGCCACTGAACGCCATTCGCTCCTTGATTTTGGGTGCGACCTGTTGAAGCAACTTATAAATCCCGACCTTGCAGCGAATCTTGGTTTAGTACATACGGTATATAGACGCGCCCACCACTCTGCGGTTTCCTCGCTGCTCTGCACCCGCATTGATTTTGGGATGTACCAAAAGCAGACATTGGAGTATTCGTGCTGCTCCAGGACGAGTCTGAAGCGATCTGGACGTGCGCGCAGCTTTTGCTCCAACAAGCGAGCCATTAATATGGCATGGTCCACTAAATGTCCGTATTTGCCGTATCCGCGCGCCTTGAGCATAAGCCAAAACTTGAAGGCGTCTATTTTGCGGCCGCACTGGACGCTCTTGTTGCCGGTGTCGTAAGCGACATCATAGAATTTATCCTGCTGAAACAAATAATTGACCTCGATGCTGTTGCAGCGCGCCAGCAAATTGGATTCGCTGGTGAGGAACAGGGAACACTGCAACGGAACGCCGAGGGTCTTGTGTGGATTCCAGGCAAACGAGTTGGCGCGCTCCAGGCCCCTCAACAGAGAGCGGTTCTTGTAGGCGAGCAGTGCGGATCCGCCCAGACAGGCATCTACATGCAGCCAGAGTCCATGGCGATTGGCCACATCGGCAATGCCAGCGATGTCATCAAATGCGCCCAGCACTGTTGTGCCAGCGGTGGCATTGATGAAAAACGGATCATGTCCGCGTGCCCGTGCTGCTTTAATCTTGTCCTCCAGGTCGTCCAGTAACATTTGACCTTTGGCATTGGTGCGCACAGCTATGCAGTTGTCGGCTCCAATGCCCAACCAGTGGGCGGCTTTCTGCAGACTGTAGTGCGAGTCCACAGAGGTAAAGATGACAAGCGGACGTAATCCAAACATGCCAGTCGATTTGATTGTTGGAAAGCGTTTATACCGGGCCAGAACTAGCCCATACATATTCGATGAGGAACCGCCAGGAGCAAAAATACCATCGCCTTGGCTGTATCCGGCTAATCTGCAAACCGTTGATATAATCTCCGTCTCGATTAGGCTAAAGACAGGCGCCACCTCATAGGTGTAACTGGAAGTGCACACATTCAATCAAATGAATCATATTTGTTTTTGTATATTACGAGCTTGTGTTCAGGGCCTCGGTTATCCAGGCTCCAGCCAGCCCAAAGGGATCCATTTGTCCAAACAGCTGGTTGTGAAAGCGGCCATGAGAGGTTTTTACAGAATATTGAATAACCTGCTGACAAATCTGCTCGATGTCAGAGTTTGTGGATGTTTCGTTTTCCTTGATTGTCAGGTCTATATGTTTCTAAGAGGAACATTAATATTAAAATGTGCTCCAGAATGTTTTTTAATAGTAGAAAAGACATTTCATGCTTGAAGATTTTTGAACCCGTCAATAGATTACGACGGCGGATCAATAAAGTGATCAAGCAGCTGCACAATAAACTCTTTCAATGATCAGCATTAAAGCCGCTTATCGGGAACTGTCTGGGCTGCTTTGACGGGACGTCTAGACCTCGTCTACAAAGTGGGGAGGGGTCACTAACCTTCAGTTCGTCCGGCTGCATAAAATCGACTATTTTCTGTTCCCTCCACAGTTCTGGATCGGCACAAAAAGTATCCTCCTTTTCTACCAGCTTGAAGACATGCTGTAGAATTTTCCAATCGTTCATTAACTTCTCGCGGACTCCATCAACAATGGAAGATGCATTATCAATTGTTTCATCCATTTTACTATGCTTCTGACTGAACCTCTGCGGACAGTTATTCAACTGGGAATGACAGGCGATTGCCCGTAGCGCTGCATGGGACCTGATTCCGAGCTGTAATGTCGCGATCGAATGCTCGTTAAAGTTGTAAATTAATTAACCATACTACATACAAATGAATAAGTACCTATACATGTGCATATGTATGTTAAGTTGGATCGTGTTCGTGCCGGTATGCCACACAATTAAGGTGAACCTTAATACTTATAAGAAAAAGGTTTGTAAAACCTTATCAGTTAATCAAATGCCCACGCTTTCTTGAATATTCCATACCGGTTCATACATTTTTTCTACTACCACTTACAAACAACATTTATTAGTTCTTCACGTATATTGATACGTGATTGATGCATTCGTATTCACGTTTACCATTTTCGAAGCTTTCGCCAGTAGATATGTAGAAATAAGCCGGTTTATTGTCAAGCGACAGTAACTTATGTACTTCAAGTTATTTGCATTTGCGATTCAAATCAAAATCTTATCGGGATTTTTAATTGGCCCATCCGAGTAGACTGAATATAATCGTATATACAGAGCACAGATTGCAGAACTGTTATCAAACACCCCTTTGATAAGTTGATTTAAGAGGTTGAAACGAAAACATGCTAGACAATAAATGCAGAGGGTACTCATATTGACTATAGATTTAAATTATTATATTTTTTAAATGGCCTTTAAAGTCACTGTTGCCTTATGCTTATAATGCAATGCCAAATGTTGAACAATTTAAATCTTTACAAAGGCCGCGCCAATTATTGCATTACGAACAGTGTGACCTAATGCTATTGTGATTAATGCAAACATGGCGTCAAACCGATAATTTTGTGATGGTATCGACTGATTACAGTCATCGCTGTTAATAACGTTAAGCAAAATGTTAAGTTCTGTAATCATTGAACATATGGTTTAGAAGGCACCGAACTATAGTTTAAAGCATTATTTACTTCGCTTGTTTTGTTTATTGTTTTTAAATCGAAAGTATAAATTGTAAACATGGGACGAGCCGAAGTTGGTACGCCCAAGTACCTTGCCAACAAGATGAAGGCAAAGGGCTTGCAGAAGTTGCGCTGGTACTGTCAGATGTGCGAGAAACAATGCCGTGACGAAAATGGCTTTAAGTGTCACACAATGAGTGAGTCCCATCAGCGGCAGCTCCTCCTGTTTGCGGACTCACCTGGCAAGTTTCTGCACAACTTTTCCAAGGAGTTTTCCGATGGCTATATGGAGCTGCTGCGTCGACGCTTTGGCACCAAACGCACGAACGCCAACAAAATATATCAGGAGTACATTGCACACAAGGAGCACATTCACATGAACGCCACCCGCTGGTTAACGCTATCCGATTATGTTAAGTGGCTGGGCCGCACTGGTCAAGTGGTGGCCGATGAAACGGAAAAGGGATGGTTTGTTACATACATTGACCGTAGCCCGGAGGCCATGGAGCGCCAGGCGAAGGCCGAACGCAAAGAGAAAATGGAAAAGGATGATGAGGAACGCATGACGGAATTTATTGAGAAGCAAATTAAAAAAGCAAAGTCAAAGGACGGCGAAGAGGATGAATCACAGGAGAAGTATACGGAACTGAAGCGTGAAGAAGAGCAGCCCCTAAAGCTGGACATACGATTGGAGAAAAAATTCCAGCCCGAATCGATATTGGGCAAATCAGCGCTACATACGAAACGCACAGCTGCCGAATCAGATGAGAAAGTCTTTAAGAAACCCAAGCCAGTGCCAACAGAGAGCAGCAGATCCGCGTTGGATGAGATAATCAAACTCGAGGAAAGGAGTAAAGAGCGGGCCAATCGCAAGGATTACTGGCTTCATCCAAATATTGTAGTCAAATTTATTTCAAGCTCCATGGGCGACAAGTTCTACAAACAGAAAGCTGTGGTGCAAGAAGTCATCGAAAGATATCGGGCAAAAATCAAGTTCTTGGAGAGTGGAGAAAAGTGTAAAGTTGATCAGGTATTTTAACGAGTTCCCTCAACAAAATCAAAGCACTTATCAATTTCTTGTTTTTAGGCGCATCTGGAGACTGTAATACCCGCCCTGGACAAGGAAGTGCTCGTGGTGAACGGCGCCTATCGCGGCTCAGAAGCGTTGCTAAAGAAGCTAGACGAGCGCAAATACTGTGTCAGCATTGAGATACTACACGGTCCATTAAAGGGACGCATTGTGGAAAACGTACAGTACGAAGATATTTGTAAATTATATGGAACGTAGCTCGCACACAGCTATTTAAGCTAATTTTTTAAAATAAGAACAGATTTTAAGGGAATATTTTTTATTATATGGTTCTATAAACATAAATGATTTCTTTTAAAATCTGCGTAAAATTTCGATTATGCAATCTGATAATTTCGATCCATTCAATATATGCATAAAATTGGATAATGAATGCAAAACTAATTGGTGTCACAACGTTAGCTTAAAATTGTTTGTTAAACAATCAAACTAGTCTATTGGTACGCAGAATGTCGATAGAACGGAGTTTTTTCTTTTATATCTCAGATATGCGATCAATATTTGTTTGGCTTGGTGCTCTTAGCATCTGTTTAATTGGTAGTGCAGCGCCCAGAGCATATATAGAAGATAATGGGCTATTCAGCGTGCCCTTTGGTCTGAAAAACATAGTCGAAGGCTCTATTTTTAATTCAGTCTCTGGTCTGGCAGAAAAAGGAGTCAATACAGTCTTTAAATTGGGATCCGGCATCGTGGAATTCACCTCCGATTATTTGCAGTCAGAATGTGAGTACGAATAGCAATATCAATCAGCCTAACCCACTTTACACTCGCATCCCAACACTCGACAGGTATGAGAATGGTACAACTCATGGCCGTACCAGAGCATAAAAGTCCAGACATCAAAAACATGCAATTTCACTACATGACAACATGTGGCAGCTATAAAGTACCTATACTGGAAGCAGACACTCTCTGGGAGCATCAACAATTTCAACGGAATCGCAAATTGGTCGTTCTAGCTTCTGGATGGATGAACACGATTAACTATTCGCATGCAATAGAAACGATATGGATGCCTTTTATGTGTCGACCCGATGTTAATTTTGTGGTATACATGGAGGGTTACAGGTTAAAGGTTGAACGTGATTGAGTACTTTCATTTCAGGCTGTAGATGTGTCTAGTTATGTAGATACGCTTTATACATGGTCCGCCCTAAACACGGATATGATAGGCAGGCACATTGCCGTTGGCTTAGCGAAATTATATGATATGATGCCATTGATCGATATTCATTTGATTGGTTTGTTCTTTGGCTACAACTATTGCAGTATAATTCTTATTTATTTTTCTAGGTCATTCGTTGGGTGCGCATATTATGGGGTCGGCTGGGCGCGAATTTCAGCGACTCACTAAACGACAGGTGCCTCGCATAACTGGTCTGGACCCTGCCAAGCCCTGTTTTCTAAAAAGATCAAAATTTCGCAGTTTAACCAAGGGAGATGCCAAGCTAGTAGATGTTATACACACAAATCCTGGCCTTCTGGGACAGCGTTTTCCAACTGGAGATGTTGATTTTTACCCAGCAGGTGAAGATGCCCTTAAGCCCGGTTGCTTGTTCATCGATTGCTCGCACAATCGTGCATACCAATATTTTGCCGAAAGTGTTTATCCACGTCGGGAAAGAAGCTTTTTGGCCTACAAATGCAGCTCAACTAAAGAGCTTGAAACCAAAACCTGTAGCTCCTCAGAAACTACAATGGGATATACGATTGATTGGGCCGCCAGAGGGGTCTACTATCTCGATGTGAGGGGCGCGAGTCCGTTTGGCATGAATTCGGAATCAGCAAGAATAATGGATTTGATGGATAAAAGCGATAATTGTAAATGCAAGGATTAAGCTATATTTTTTTATTCCTTCTGCCAGCATGTAAAAGATCGCCGAGTTCAGAATAATATATTGTCGTTGTTGTGTTCAACATTGCACTCAAGGCTTCATTTTTAGCTACCCGTTTTTTTAACAGGTGCCTGTATGCCTCTTCCATTTGGTAAGGACTGAAACTATCAGCGGAGTAAAAATCCCCAAGATACTCGCACAAGGGGTTCACCTCAACAAACAAGAAAAGTGTCTCTCTTAATCGCCTCGTACGACAAGCGGTGACGTGCTGTGGTGGTATTCTAATGCCCGCCAACCACACGGGAGAAGAACATGGACAGGGACAAAATCAATATACCCCTTTTACTCATTTGCAATCATTTCAGGGTATAAAAACACAGACAACAGTTTAGAGAGATGGTTATATCGAATATAGTTTATTTTTAAAATATAACTAAACAATTTATACTGAGATTGTCGTGCTTTGCTAAGCACCAAGAGCTACTTTCTTCATTTCGAATTTTCAGTTTCTTAGTTTTCATATTATTTCTCTCAGTAACATGTTTAAAGTATCCAGTACTTTGTAGGGGTTGAATGTACCTAAATACAACACATCTGCTGACAATGACATTATTCTAAATTTGAGTAAAATAAACGACTATACGAAAACATATGTTGTGTGACCCAATATTTACTCTCTTTCAGGGGTTTACCTACTTTGTCGAGAGGTGTGTGAACCATTAAGAAATCATTTTCGATCCTATAAGGCATAATTTTGTGTGTAAAGCTAAGTGAACCTTCTTCTAATTATTTTTACTCACAAAAAGCATGAAGAGATTTCTAAACTTTGAAAAAGGGATTAAAACAACCTATTGCCAAGGGGACTTAAATTTATAACAGATTTTCTTCGCCTAATTGGGTAACTTAACTAATATATCTGAAAGTGTATTTAATTTTCGGTATGCCAACTGTTCTTATGTCTTTTCACTTTTTGCAACAATGCAAACAAAGATTTTTAAAAATTAGTCGACCTATTTGCAAAAACTTTGCGTTCATGTCTAGAAGCCCAAAAATATTCACCCTGCCACAGTTCGCTGCTGACTTACTTGGACTACATATATTTAAAAATGCGTCCCCAATTCAATGGCCTAAGAGCTCTAAGTATAATTCTACTCAGCACAGGGTATACTGCAGAGGCTAACAACTCAACGAGTAGCTGGTGGCAGGGAATTCCCAACGCCTTTACGGATATTCTTACCTTGAAAATGAATATTTTTACAGCATTTCCGCTCGAATTGGCGGCAACAGTTATTGATACTTTGTGTGAGTACATGGGGAAATGGTGACAGGCCTTCACTTAGTATTCCATCTATCTATAGTATCCCATTCCAACGCATGACAGGCTCCTCCACGCTGTTTATTGGAAGCGTGCCTCCGCAAATACAGCCGGACATAACGAAAATGCACTTTCAGTATATGACGCCATGCCTGAATTATAGCGTTCCGTTATTGAAAGCCGAGAAGCTATGGAATCATCCGAAATTTCGACAGAATCATAAATTGGTCATCCTGGCTACGGGCTGGACAAATACTGTTAACGATTCTGCCACCATAGCGATGATATCAAGGGCTTTTATGTGCCGGCCTGCTGTTAATTTTGTGGTACTTAGTATAGTTTCCACCAAGTATGCACCTATATATATTCATCTTAGATTGTAGATGCGGCCTATTACGTGGACACACTGTACAAGTGGTCGGCCCTGAACACGGATCTCATTGGGGAGCACCTAGCCGTCGGTTTACAGCACTTGATAAAGGTTATGCCATTAATGGACATTCATTTGATTGGTAAGTTTGGCAGCTACAGTATCGTCGACAAGATCAAATAAAGGATTGCCCTAGGTCATTCATTGGGCGCCCATATTATGGGGACTGCTGGTCGCACATACAAAAAACTAACGGGACGTCTAGTATCTCGTATAACTGGTCTGGATCCAGCCAAACCCTGTTTTCGTAATGAAAAATCACTGCCCGGACTGATGCACGGCGATGCTGAGCTAGTGGACGTTATACACACAAATATTGGCATTTTGGCGAAACGAGATCCTTTGGGCGACATTGACTTTTATCCAGGGGGTGCACATCCCATTAAGCCCGGCTGCCTGACTATTGGCTGCTCCCACACGCGTGCTGTTGAGTATTTTGCGGAGAGTGTCTATCCGCAACAGGAGAGAAATTTCCTGGGTTTCAAATGCAGGTCGTGGAAAGAGCTCGAAAGGCGAAAATGTCAGACCGACAAAACTTCAACAATGGGCTACGTGATTAACCGGAAGGCGACTGGCATTTATTATGTTGACGTTAATGGCCAAAACCCTTATGGCAAAAACTTTAATCCGTTGAAACGAGAACATGTTGACTGCGCCAAGCCCAAGTGTAGATCCAAGTTATTGAGTAAAGATCAGTCTTAACAACAGCACGCATATAAAAACTTTGCTTATTCCAAGCTAGACAGCGTAAGTTGAGAGTCGAGTCCTTTCCAGACGTGCCGCCTTTCCCTTTGAACTGAATTCCTATTTCTTATTCCATTTATACATCTATATTTATTATTAATCTATTATTTCAGTAAGATCTAGATCATCATCGAAGGCCTCTGCGATGCCTTTCTGGCTCTGGTATACTTTCTCCTGTGTCTCGGCAATTTTCCATAGCTCGTCATCATCGTCACCATTAAGCATGGATCTGTTTGCGGCCCCTTTTATTGAGGCCCTGACTTTATTATTTTGCTGAACTGGCCCGGGAGCGCGTTTCTGGCGATTGCCCATCAAGATTTGGCTTTCCTCGAAATAGTTGTTAGGGTGATTGATTGTCGGCTCCACCGTCGAGTTGTGTGTCAGCATAAAGTATTTTCCGCAGGCGAATTGGAAATGATTGCGTGAAACAAAAAACATGACCTCATCGATGGCGCCCGGCGAGAGGCCATATGACGAGAGTTTTGCTTTTAGCGCAGTTTGGTCCAACGATTTGTATGGGCAGCCATGGCAGTCGCCAGGAGCTGCCATTTCCTTAATGATCTTCAGGCAAGAGTAGGGCGTGTAATTGACCATGGAGCCCTTCTTGCCATAGTTGTGGTAAATGTTGTACTCGTAGCTGCGCGTAAACTTATCGACATCCATTTTCTTAGTAAACTCCTCGCGCCAAAAACGCAATGAATCCTCGAGTGTGACGCCAATGCCTTTTAGGAAGAGACCGTACTGCATGCGTCCACCGTGTTTGATATGGTGCTGGCTGCGTATGTGCTCGTGGCACATACGCATGCAGAGTGGCATGGACGTTTTGGATAGCTGATCCAGAGACTCAATCGGCACCGAAGCATCTTTGCATATCGTGTAGTCCTTGCCCGTATACGAGTTGTGCAGGGACTTGATCATGCGCGAGATGCGCTCGTCTGCCTCGACGTCAGCAATAAAGGACTTAGCTGCTTGCATGCCACGTTCAATCTCATCCAGCTGCCTGGCGCCCACAATTGACACCATGTCGTGTGTGTTCACATAGGCAAAGCCGGCCTTTAGATAACAGCGGCGGGTCCGCACCAAATCCAAAACTTGTGTGAAGGGTACTTTGTAGAACTCGAGCAGCTCAATCTTTGATACACTCTGGCCCACAGTGCTTTCATAGAGACCGTCCTTGACCTCGTCCTTCTGTTCCTCTGTCAATGGAAGAATGTGAAAACTGTTGGCCTCGAGAAACTGCTTAATTTCAGCTGTGTTAAGTGCGGCGAATTTATATTTAAAGAACTCCATTTCCCGTGCTACGAACCAGCGCAGCAAATCCTCTGAGCGACAATATGCCAAGCGCAGTATGAAGTGTGATAAATAGTCACGCCGACGCATTTGTAAATCCGACTCATGCTTGGTACCACTGCTTGTCGTGCCCATGCGCAAATAGCCCCGGAGTCCATCTCTGCTCATTTCGCCATTCACATATTCCTTCCAGTCCTCAGAGAGCAGCCGCAGTCCCTTTGTTGTGGCGCGATCAAAAACGCGCAGCAGGCGCAGACGCTCCAAAGCGAGTTCTTCAAATTCATCAATATGAATATCCTCCGTTGGCGGATAGTGATACAGCATAACATTGTGCGGATACTTTGCTTCCAAACTAACCACTTCAACTTTCACATCGTGCCGTGCTCGTTTCTTTAAATTAAAATCCATGTTGGCAAACACGACTTAATTATATTCGGTTTGCTGTGCTACTTGCAAAAATGGCGCCAAAAATGTGTTGAAACAGCTGTCGCACGTATCGATAAGTGAGTATTGTCGATAAGTGAGTACTGCCGTTGAAAACTCCGCACTATCGATTAAAATATCGATACAATGGTTTACATTTTATTGGTTATTTCCTCTCCATATTTTTTTTTAACACAAAGTCATGATTTATAAGCTGCAATTACCAATCACTTTTTTCATTTCTTTACCTTATCTAAACACTTTGCACTTTGTCTCTGCAGCTGCAGTACTCCAATACTTAGGCTATATAAATCTTAAAATATGACAAACGGTTTTATTTGAGCTTAAAATATTTTCAATGATTCAAACTATTTCGTATGCTAAAAATGTACTTTATGTATATCAGGTACTTAAAAAGATGACTAGAATATTTGCATTCAATTTGGGGTCCAATAACTTTAGACATTGGAATCTTTTGTGCCTATGCCAATTAGTTCTAATGACTTTCTTAAGCGCTTCCAGAACAATTTGCGTTCCTCCAATGTTGGCTGTTTGCTTCCTTTACTCGGCCATTTAATATAGGTTTTTATCCCCATTAGGTATTGAAGCGTCTTTGGGCGTTTACTGCGTGGTATTTCCTCCAGGAATACGAGTATTAAATGCTCCTTGCTCATCTCAAAGATGCTGTCGAAAGTAAAGTAGTTGAGTTATGTTTTTTTTTAGTAGGAGCTTTCATGCTTACCGATGTTGGGCCAGATACATTTCGAATTGACACCAATGACTGAGCAGAAACTTTGATGAAATCAGCAACATTAAAGAGCGCGATCGATCCATGCTTGAAATAATATTATCCAGTATAGTTACTCCGATCTGCGAGCAGAAAATACAAATTAGGCATAGACTTACATTAAATATTTTATTTAGACAAACCTGAAAGTCACGTTCGTGCAGACATATAGAAATATCTCCAGATTTCTCCACATTTGGTAGCAACTCGTCCAGCACCCACTGGCGATCATTTTGGCAGTAGCTTATAAAAATGTCATATATTACGCTGGGATTATTTTCGGATAGACGATGAAATTTGTCAAGAGACTCCTTTGAGGCGGTAGACAAAAGCGCCGCCGATTTCAGTGAAGCATAATAATAATGTATATGCCAACGCTTTAGATATATGATAAGTCCCAGAATGAATACACCCAGAATGCTTCCAACAACAGCTGTGATAATCTTAAAGGTGTTGTGCAGCTTTTCTTCGAAATCAACCAATATTCGGCTCTGGCAGACTAACTCATCCACTTGTAATTTATCCGTCTCGTTAAAGCACCAGTAATTCTTTGCATCGTAATCAAGTAATTGAAATTTTAAAGAAGTATCGTTCACAGTTTTTTGTATAGATGCGGGGCATTGTTTGGTACGCAGGTCTTTGGTAAGGAAACGCAGATTGGTTATTTTCTTGAGCCGCTTGAAGTCTTTTATGTTCTTGTAGCTGTCGATGAGCTGTGGCAAATAGCGTCGCTTCCACAACTGGTGTTCAATGTACCCGGCAAGGGATTTGCTCAGCTCACTTAGACTGTTAATATTTGAGGCAATCAGCTCAGCAGCTGCGTGCTGTAGAAGGTTGAATGAACAGTCGGCTTTTTTATTGTTGTTTGCAGCTACTTCGACCACCTCACGCAGAATACAATTACAAAGGAAGTTATTATCGCCGAGACTCAGGTATTCAAGCAATTCAAAATCCTTCATCATCTCGGTGGTCAGCATGTTGACGTTGTTGCTGCGTAAGTTAAGAACCCGCAGTGCCGTATTGTTAAAAAACACGCTCTTATACCAGTTGCCAATGTGGTTGGAGCTCAGATCCAGAAGTTGCAAGCTTACCAAAGACTGAAATGCTTCGACCGATAGGGCGTTGATATTGTTACCTGCCAAGCCCAACAACTGCAACTTTCTCAGCGGTCTTAACCACTTGATATCCTTGAGATTAGAGTGCTCAAAGTAGAGAAATTTAAGCGTATCGCCAATACTGTCGAAAGCGTCATCGACAATGTTATACGAGACAAAAGGATTACCGGACATGTCAAGTCCCTCTAGGGCTGTGTTCTTAAAAAGGCCATTGCTCATCATGGGAAACGATGTGTAGCACAAGCTCAGATACTTGAGCTTGTTTCCAAGATGTGTGAAGGCAACAGCACTATTTCGTGTGATTTTCGAGTGCGAGAGGTCCAGATAGACGAGTTTTGGCAGCAGTTTAAATGCCGTCTGATGGATCTTTAGACCATACACCAGATTTAAGACAACTTCAAGCGTGGGCATCGATAGCTGGTAATTATAGTTTAAGACGTTTGTAAACGACAAGTCTAGATATTGTACTCCCTGTATATAGTAGAATGTATCGAAATCTATGGTCATTATCTTGTTGTTCGAGATGAAGAGTTTCCGAAGGTTTGTCACATTTTTGAATGCCTCTTTGCTCAAATACTCGATGCTGCAGTTACTGATTTCAAGTTCCAAAAGGTGCTGCAGATGCGGAAAGGTTGCCCAAGCAATGCTCTCTTCTAAACAAAAAAAAAAAAATATGAAATACATTTAAGTTAGGGTTACATCAAATTGTCTTTCAAAGTACAGCAAATGATTTTGTTGGTGTGTGGAATGAGGAAGGATATTGTTTCGTGTCTTACTTGAAGTGCCAAATATTATGTGCTTTATTTGAAGTTTCCGTATATAATCCTCATAAATCATGTCTTGCGTGTTTGAATTGTGAATGTGTTTGTTGTTCTGGTAGTATAGCAAACATTCCCGATCATAAAGATCTAAGTTATTAGTATGATTGTTTATAAAATGCTCTTCGCATTTGTTTTGTGTGTCACTTGGGGTAAATCGAGTCTCTTGTAAAAACCGCTCAATGGCTGAAATTTAGCAAAGAGCCTGTAGATAAGTCTGAATGTATGCGACTTTTATGTGTTTGGTTGATATCTAACCAACTTTTCTACTTACCTTCGGGATCATGATTTAGCGCTGCGAACTGGTTACCTTGTAGGGATAAATATTTTAAGGATCCCGTCATTGTTGATAAAGTTTGGAATGGTACTTTATTTAACCTGTTGTGGGCAGCAGAGAAAGCTTCTACTTTTTTAAAACTATATCGGCGAGCAAATTTCGTTTTATTTAACAAATCCTCGTCTTCAGATATGTTACCATACGAAAGATCTAAGTGCATATTTGACACTGTAAAAAATAAGAACCAATTAATTCTCTAATGAAATTATCATAATAAACACAAGTTAACTATTATTCACTTAAGAATCCTGTTTAGTTTAAATTACTTTTCAAAAATATTAAAAACGGACATAGTATATATGGCTACTATCGATATCTAAGCACCACCCTGTAGAATCGATATATCGATACATGCCACGATGTATACTCAACTCTACATATGTTTGTCAGCTGTGTATACAAAAATTTACTAAATCACAGAAGTAAAATGGAAGAAGTTTGTCGCATATGCAGAAGCAACTGTGTCACGCTAGTAAACATCTTTGACCAGCTGGAGCAGGATCCGCCGCTGGTTGACATGCTTAAGGACTGTGGCAATTGTAAAATAAGTCCTAATGATCCGTTGCCCCAGAACATATGCCTGGCCTGCATATTGGATGCTCAAAATGCATTTCAATTCAAACGCAGATGCGAACACAGTCAACAGTACTTTTTGCTGTTGCTAGGTATTGAAAACAAGGATGATTCCGACTGCGAAGCCGTACGTGTACAATGTACACTCGACATTAAAGAAGAGCCTTTGGAAAATGTACCGACGGAAAGCAGTGCCAATAACGAAAGCGTCAAAGACAATGAAAGTAGCTCTGCGACGTCGTTGCCAGACGTTGAAAAGAAAAACAAATCCAACTGCGAGGAAGGCATCCCTAATTCCCAGTGTTTCCTCAACGTTAAAGAAGAGCCATTGGAAAATATCCTGCCAGAAAACAGTGTCGATAACGAAAGCTTTGAAGACAACGGAGTAAGCTCAACAGCTTCGTTGTGCGATCAACAAAACACTGAGGAGCTGGACTTCAGAACAAGTGATAACAATAAATCGTATCCATGTTTGACATGTGGAAAAGTGTTTAGTTATAAAAGCGACTTGACAAAACACTCGCGCATCCATAACGGCCGTTACAAGTGCACCCACTGCTCGAGGGCTTTCAATTCATCGAGTACTTGCAAGTTGCACATCCGACTGCACACTGGTGAACGTCCATTCAAATGTACGCATTGTACAGCAGAATTTTTAAGGAACGATGACCTGAAGAGACACATGTTTAAGCATACTGGTGAACGCCCGTACGAATGTTCTCACTGCTTAAAGCGATTCACCCACCGCAGCATTCTCAATAAGCACATTCGAACGCATACCAATGACCGAAAACACAAGTGTCCACACTGCCAAAAGGCCTTTACTGATGGCTACACTCTCAAGGTGCACATTCGTCGATGTACTGGTGAGCGGCCATTCCAATGTGCCGACTGTCCGAAGGCCTTTGTATTGAAAAAGGAACTGCAGCTGCACCAAAACACTCACTTGGATTATAAGTGTCCCAGCTGCTCGGGACGCTGCTCGGCTGCTCAGCTAAAAAGACATTCCAGTGGGCACACGATTGGCGAAGAGGCACCACACGAGATGCCAACAAGAGATGATAGTTGTAAAGAAGAAAACCCCAGCTCACTCTCATTGCATGCACCTCACTCTGAAATATTAATCGCTGAGTCGTCTGAAGATGTGAACCCCGAAGAAGGCAAACATATGAATGAGAGGCACCCATTCGATCAGAAAATCTTCCAGTGTGAAACTTGCGACAAGAGTTTTGCAACAAAGGGTCGTTTGATCCAACATTATGGCGTCCATACGGATGAGCGTCCGTTTAAGTGTGAGATCTGCTCGAAAGCGTTCAAGCAACGATCGCATCTCACTAAGCATAGTGTCACTCACACAAGAAAAAACTAGATCTAATTAATATTTTATGCGTATGGTGTGTTATGATATTAATCAATTAATATTAAGTACCCATTGCCGAAACCAAAACCTAAAATAATTAAAATTGTTTTAAGTTGGAGTATACATTCCAAGTAGAATAACTCTGAGTTTTCTGTGGGACTACATAAAAGTCAATCAAATGTCACAAAAAAAATTGATATTGATAAACTTAAGAGTTAATTTTGTTTAATTGACAACTACCCGGAAAAAGTGTGATTTTTCAAAAAACGTTATAAAAGTTCCATTTATATTTCATTTTCAATAGCTCGATTACAGTTATTAAAATAAAAACAAATCATGTGTATACTATCGATATCTACTTGCCACGATGCTTATCGATACTCAACATATGTTCGTCAGCTGGAGGCATTTAGATAAATTCACGAATAACGCAAAACTTCGACTAACAACAAAAAGGTTCACTCATTAAATAGCCAAAAGGTTAAAATGGAAGAGGCTTGTCGCATTTGCACAAGCAACTGCGTCTCTCTAGTGAATATCTTTGACCAGCTGGAGCAGGACCCTCCTCTCGCTGACATGCTTAAAGAGTGCGGCAACTGTAAAATAAGTCCTAATGATCCGTTGCCCCAGAACATATGCCTGGCCTGCATATTGGATGCTCAAAATGCATTTCAGTTCAAACGCAGGTGCGAGCAGAGCCAGCAGTACTTTTGGCTGTTGTTAGAAACTGAAAACAAGAAGAATTCGGAATGGGTAAAAGACGTGCCTCCTTCCCAGTGTTCTCTCGAAATTAAAACAGAAAATATGGAAAATATGCCGCAAGAAAACATTGTCGATAACGAAAGCTTTGAATACAATGGACTAAGTGCTGCTGATGAGTTTCTAGTCGTTGAACATCAAGGTTATTCCGACTGCGAGAATGTCCCAATTTCCCAGTGTTTTCGCGACGTTAAAGAAGATCCATTAGAAAGTATCCTGCCAGACCACAGGAGAATAAGCTCAGAAGCATCATTGTGTGACCAACAGGACAACATAGATGATAAACAGAATTCGTATTCATGTCTAAAGTGCGGGAAAGTGTTCAGCAATAAAAAAGACCTAACAAAACACTCGCGCGTTCATATCGGACGTTACAAGTGCACTTACTGCTCGAAGGCCTTCAATTCATCAAGTACTTGCAAGTTGCACGTCCGACTCCACACTGGTGAACGTCCATTCAAATGTAAATATTGTACAGAAGCATTTTTAAGAAAAGATGACCTCCAAAGGCACATTTTCACACACACCGGCGAGCGTCCGTACGAATGTGATCAGTGCTTGAAGCGATTTACCCACCGCAGCATTCTCAATAAGCACATACGAATACATACCAATGAGCGCAAGCACAAGTGTCCACACTGCCAAAAGGCCTTTAGGGATGGCTACAATCTCAAGGTGCACATTCGCAGATGTACAGGTGAGCGGCCATTCCAATGTGCCGAATGTCCGAAGGCCTTTGCATTGAATAAAGAACTACAGCTACACCAAAAGACTCACATGGACGATAAGAGTCCAGGTTGCCGGAAACCCGTCAGCACTAAGAGGAAGACGATTGCCGGAAAAGCACCAAAAAAGAATTCAACACATACAAAATCAAGACTGTCCTTGGACTTGGCTCAATCGAATTTATCAATTGAGATGCCAAAAGCAGATGATAGTTCTGAAGAAAGAAACTCAAGGATATTATCTATTGATGCTCCTGCATCGGGGATCTTATCCATTGAGCTGTCTGAAGATGCAACTAATGAAGAAGGCATCGAGGGAAGAATATCGAATGGTATACGCACGTCCAGTCAGAAAAGCTTTCAGTGTACGACTTGCGACAAGAGTTTTGCTACAAGGAGTCGTTTGAACCGACATTATAGCGTCCATACCAGTGAGCGTCCCTTCCAGTGTGAGCTTTGTTTGAAATCGTTTAAACAAAATGTAAGCCTTATTCGCCACAGTGTTATACACACAAGAAAACATCGTAGCACCTAGTAAGGCTGAAGTACCCATTGTAGAAAATAAAATCTAATATAAATAAAATCGTTTTAAGTTAGAGAATAGAACAACAAATTAAATGCCAATCAAGAGGATATTAATAAACTTATTCAGATTGAACTGTTTTCTCCAATTGTTTTATTTGACAAGTACCAGCAAAAAGGTGGGATGTTTAAGCTCAAGTGCAGTTCTGAAGTTAGTATAAATATTGTAGCTACTATCGTTATTGTTTTTAAGACAACACAGCGTTCATCGATACATTCTACGATGAATATCGATACTAAACATATGTTTTGTCAGCTGAAAAGATATTTACACAAAAGTGAAAATGGAAGCCGTTTGTCGCATATGCAGAAGCAACTGCGTCACTCTGGTAAATATTTTTGACCAGCTGGAGCAGGACCCGCCGCTGGTTGACATGCTTAAGGAGTGTGGCAATTGTAAAATAAGTCCTAATGATCCGTTGCCCCAGAACATATGCCTGGCCTGCATATTGGATGCTCAAAATGCATTTCAATTCAAACGCAGATGCGAACACAGTCAACAGTACTTTTTGCTGTTGCTAGGTATTGAAAACAAGGATAATTCCGACTGCGAAGACGTACCTCTTGAGTGTACTCCCCATATTAAAGAAGAGCCGTTAGAAAATATTCCACAAGGAAGCAGTCTCGATAACGAAGATAATGCAAAAATCTCAGAAGCTTTGCAGCTTGGTGTTGAAAAGATAGAGAATTCCGGCTTCGAGCAAAATGTGCTTTCCCAGTGTACCCTTGAGATCAAACAAGAACTATTGGGAACATTTCTGCGAGAAAACAGTGTCGATAACGAAACCTTTGAAGAATATGAGAGTAGCTCAAAGATCGACACCAAGAAAAGTGGCAAAACTAAATTGTATCCATGTTCAACATGCGGAAAAGTGTTCAGTTTAAAAAGGCAACTGACGAAACACACACTCGCTCACACCGAAGATCTTCCCTACAAGTGTAAATACTGCTCGAAGACTTTTCAAACTATAAACCATCGGAGAGTGCATATGCGACTGCACTCCGGTCATGGCCGATTTAAATGTAGAGAATGTCAAGCACAGTTTTCTAGTGGCATTCTCCTGAAGAGACACATGTTTAATCATGCCGGCGAACTACCGTATAAATGCCCTCACTGCCTAACTAGGTTTTCCCACCGTGACAATCTCAAGAAGCACCTTCGGATACACCTCGAAGACGGCGAACACAAGTGTCCGCATTGCCAAAAGCTATTTAGGTATGCCTACATTCTCGATGAACATATTCGAACAGATAAATGCACTTACTCGAAGCACAAGTGTCCTCTCTGCATGAAAACGTTATTCAGTGAGGGTTTTCTAAGGCGGCATATGGTCAATCACGCTAGAAGTCAGAAGATTGGAGCAAAAGTACCAGAAGAGATGCAAACAGGAATTGATAACTCTGAAGATAGAAAACCGAGTCTGTTTTCTTTGGTTGATTCTCAAACAGAACTTATCGATTGAGACGTGATGAAACGATTCGAAAACAGCCGTTCAAGTGATTAACCTTTAAAACCAATCGAATCATAAAGGGCCATAGATGCGCCCATTTCGGACATGAAAGCACCAAGTAGCCTTAAGCATTATACATTACATTTTCTACTAAGTATAATAACTGAAATAAATCATACGCTTGTTTTGTACTCTTTATATTTCTATCTATTGATTATATTTTGTTATTCATATACTCACAGTGCTTGCTATTGGGTGGCTTAAGAGTTCCATTGGGAAATGTCCACCACAAGATTTCCTGCTTGACGTTATCCAGGAGACAAGTATTTCCATCGTCGGTGCCGTATTTCACGAATAACGATTCCAGATTTTTTTCCTCAATGGAATCAGTGCTGCTCTCTTCATCATTAGTGTCCTGAGATAGGCTCTCTTTCGCAGTATTTAGGCTCTTTCCTAAATGCGAGCCTAGTTGAAGGGGTGTCATTTTTGGGGATTCGTTGACCCTGAACGTTTCCACCAAATCACGCGGCGCTGACTCCAAAGTTTTTAAACTTGACTCGATTATGTTCCATTGAAGAACAAGTAATATTACAAATGTTTTTATTAGAATACACATTTTATAGTCCCTTTCAAAAGTTGTTAATAGCAGAAAATATGAAGTTATGCGTTGACGTTGTTAGATTTTCCCGACTTATTGCTAATATTAGATTTCGTTTCATTGAAATGCATGCAGAAAGATATTTTGTTTTAATTTCTTCGAAATAGTCTCTAATGAGCACTAGTTAGATATGTTTTTGAACTGTCTCTATTAAGGTTTAATTTTCCTTCGATTTCCTTCACTCAAATTCTATACACTTTCTTCTATGTCATTTTCCGTAGATTATTATCCAATATATTGATCGAATGCTAAGCGGCCGGCGATATCATACCACACTCTGGAGAGTAGAAGCGAGACTAATGGTCAACCGAATGGCAGAAATCCGAAACTCTTGCTTAGTGAATATGAGTATGAATAATTTTATTATAACACGATAGGGCTTATCAATTTTGGCAATATATTCTTTCGCTTTTGAATGGGTTCCGGTTATCAGCTTAGCTGCTTTATGGTAGCCGCACGCCTCTCAGCACACCCACACCTTAAATATTTTGTACATGATTGCAGAAACTAGACACATGATAGCTATCAACTCGATATGGGATTAGGGCCACATGCGTACTCTCTCTCTCTCTCTCTATCCGAAAATTATCTTTTTTTTAACCATGTCCAAATAGAAAATTGCGCCAAATATAACCACAGCGAAACCATTGCTCATAAATTAACTCGACTACTTTAAATTGAAGTAAATAATGCTCAATAATATAGATTATAGCGGATCTGATACGTTTATAGATATGGCCCGAGTGATAAGCCTTTTTTTTTTATTTATAGTTAGTAAAGGCAAATCTGAGATTAGAGTTGGAATTTGTATTTATTTTAGAAACGCTTTTGATTTTATTTTGCAGTTTTTGCAGTATAAATATTTATTCCGATCAGCTTTAAGTTACGTTAATCAACTTTGGGACAATAATTAAACTTGCCTGTTGTTATAATTATTTATTATTATTGATTGTTTAAGGTGAAGGGTTTTCAGAGTTGACAAATAATATATCTACCAATTTCTTTATAATTATAATTGGCTATTTCTTTTGTCAAAAAATGACATACTATTAATCATAGGACGACGGGCTTGGGAGTGCTAAGTTCCTGTATTTTAAATGTAAACAAAGTTTGCCAAACTTATCGTTTCAATATCTTATCGATATTAAATGTATTTCTTATCGATATTAACGTACAAAAATCGCACTTAGACAAACACCATGTTTCCACAAGACGCGCCTTTTTTTAAAAAGTGAGACAAAAATGCCGTTATTAAGTTAACTTTAAAAAAAAAATTAATTAAATTTGTAGCACACTGTAACGTGTATAATCAAAAAATAAATTATTTTAATTTTGCTCTACGCAAAATACAAGAGAAACGCGCACCGCTAGGGTATGCTAACTATAGGCCACCCACCACCCACCACCCACCCTGCGCGATCCCGATTTCTGAATTACAACTCAAAACAGACGACGCGTCGTCGCATGCCTCGCGTTTAGTCCATCCACCCAAACCACCCCTTTGGGTGTACTGCCCCGCCAACTCAGTTGCTGGTTAAACAACCACCTTCTGTTTTCACTCGCGCTCTCTCTCCCTCATTTTCTCACTCTCTCTTTCTTCCTCGCAGCAGCAATAGCCGGCAATTGTCGCGTCCGCAAGGGACTTGCAGGACGGAGCCATCGGCTGGCCGTGCTCGGGTGTCCGCTCGTGGCTTGTTTGGGCTTTGGCTGCGAGATTCGAGTCGCGTGTCAGTCAGTTTGCATGCGTCTCCGTTCGTGGGTGAAAGTCCAGAGTAAATCGCACCGATTCGAGGCTCGATTCTCGTGCAACGTGTTGTCAGTAGCGTATCCGACGGTCTTTGTGAGTCACCCGCTACCAGGCTGAGTGCCGCTGCTAGACGCTAGAAAAAGCCGGGAATTATTGTTTATGTGCTCAGCTCAGTGTTTTGGTCAAGCGCCACTTGAATATTTGTGAAAATTGAGTTTCCAAATGCCGCTGTGAAACGACAAAAGCAAACAAAGGCCCTTCAGATTGTCATGGCGTCTTTTTGTGTCCGTAGACAAACACACAATATCTGTATCCATACATAAGTGTATCTCCAAAATTAAACCTTCTAGGAGTTTGAACAGACTTTTGTCTGGACCGTCAGCTGGATTGCAATATGCGTCTCAATAGACAGGTAAATGATAACAGTACACCAGGACCTCAAGAGAGAGGTGTATATTTTCACGAGTAACAACTGTCGCACACGTTGTTATTATTATTTTGGCTGTTGTTGTTGTTGTTGTTGTTTTTGGTGGTGTCTTTAAAATCGCCTGCAATTTGGGGTGTTTTTTAACCAAGGCACAGGTATGGGATAATCAATTCCAAACGTACCAAATGGAGCTCACTTTCACTGGATATTTGCCAGATTTAATAAATACTCTTCTCATAAACACTATAATATTAATCAATTGCAAAAAAATCCAAAGATATTTAAACAATATTTCTAATTGTATTCATAAACATCATAATAATTGTTGATGCTCTTCTGAAATTGATACAGCTGATCGAATTGTGATCAAATTTAGCAGAAAATTGAGTGCATTCCAAATAAATTAATTAGCAATTTGATGATATAAAATAGCACAATGCTAGCACATGATATGGCATATCTGAGATATGATACATGTCAGAGCTGAACAGAGGCCGGACAGCTTAATAGGCAGGGCGAACAAAAGAAAATCCAGAGAGTTCATTGAAAAGGAAAAACACCATTTTTCGTTTATTCCTTTCTTTGGACAGCAAATTTACTGAACTCCTGGCCGACCTTAGCCGAGGGTTGGCCAAATGAATGAACCCGGCGAAGAAAGCCACATAATGCACACACGCCGTGAGGTAGGAAAATAATGTAACGATGACACGCAATAGACAGGGCGAGAGTTCAAACATATGCACTACAGTCGGAAGGAGCACAATGCAATGGTTATTATGCAGCTATTATACTAATATTAGGCATTTTTAATCAAGCTGGATATGGAATATGGCGGGCAAAATTCACGTAATAAGTAAAAATTGCACATAAGCCGGAAAATAGCCATAAATTATTATATCATTCTTGACGTGGGATTATGTAAGCTCAACCAACGTGAAACAATTTAAAAGAGCAACACATAAAACTTTTTAGTGGTTTGCAAATGAGAAACTATTAAAAAGTGCAGAAAATTCTTGCGTCAGGTTGCCGGGCGGCGACCCAACTTTGTTAAAAGAAAAGAAAAAAAATGAACATAAATTTGAACACTGTGTGAGTAAATGTGTTTAAAGTTTAAACTATCCTTGTCATCCTGCAGAGTTTGCAAATTACAAATGCTTTTCTTTCAGCCCGACAGCGTGTAAAAAAGGTTGCGGATTATTTATAAAAAAGTAATTGGTTTTTCTAGCTGAGAAGCTTACTCAGAGCCAAAGATGAATGCGAGAATGGGAGAGTCGGGTTTTTTTTTATAAAACTAAAACCACAGAAACACTAAACTATGTTTAAGAATTAACTCAGACTTTTCACTTAGCACAACTTTGACCTAATAATCCTATCACAGGTACATATAAATTCCATCCAAGAAGGACACGCAGCCATCTCTAGTCCAGAGTGAAAACCAAACACAAAAGAGTGTAAAGTTAGGCAGATTTTTTACTTGACCTCCTAGGCAAAGGCAAATCCCTCAAAAGTTTGGCTTAACAAGGAGCATTGGATTTGTAATTTGTTAAGCTAACAATTCACTTTGTCTCGCAGGGCTTCACCCATGGAGAGAGCTGCCCCCTTTCAGCCCGTATATATAGTGTGTATACATATATAAATGCTTTCATTTTTGTAAGCGTATCGTATAACAGCATTTAAGTACTTGAGGGAACAATGTTTTAAAAGGCTTCAGTGCGTTTTGCATTCAATTGTAATTTCAACTTCAACTAAATTAAGGCTACATTTGCGCGCGGCTGTGCTGGAAGTCTGTCTGAAAGTCTGTTCCGTCGCCAACATCTAAATAAGCACTTTTCTATGGAGGTTATTTTCTTGGCATAATAATTTCACATTTAGCTCGAATAAGTTTTTGCTTTTGCTCACTTTCACAGCATCGTTTCACTTTGCTTGATGTATTTTTGCAGGCGGTTTTCGTTTCCACTTGAAGAACTTGCAGTGTACTTAATTGCATAAGTTTTTAGTTTACACTCGAGTTAAAAGGGAACTTTAAACATTATGCTGAAAGCAATTCCCAACTATTTGTACTTTGCTGGCTGAACATACGTTGCGCAAATGAAGTTTTTTGGGACAGCTTTGCTTACAGAAAAACACAATAAATATAAATATAAATAAATAAGAGATAATATGTCTGCTCTTCTAAAAAATAGAAAACTAGCCTCACACAGATCGAGCTACTTGCAGGAGAGCAAAACTCAGCATGAAGTCAAGGATAAAACAACATTCTTTGCCACAATAAACTAGTATTTATTTAAATAATATTAGCTAAGTATCAGAGTTAAGTAAAGTTGTCTTCGTTTTAAAGCTTAGCTGACAATCATCTGAAAAATTCCTTGCCTCGCGTTATTTACAGGATAATAGCTTGGCTTAAGTCCTTTCTCTGTTTACACACACAAGGAATTTCGCGTAAATCAAATATTCAATTTACATGTGTGTCATAAATTCGAGAGCAATAAAATTCAATCAAATATTTCATTACAATATATGTGTGTACAAAAATTTAATTTAATTCTGGTGCCAGTCGACGGCACAAACATAAATCGTACTCTCTTTGCTCCTGCCAACTCCCTCCAAATCCTTCCAACTGCTGCTCTCGACTCCCGCCAGGTGCTGAGTTGTTGTTGTTGTTGCTGTTGCTGTCGTTGTTGCTGCTT